ACCCTGCGGGATCCATCTGATAAAGGTCACAATTTGGCAGGTGAATTGTGCCCTGTGTCTTCAAGAAAGAGGATTATTTAGACTGTTGAATGTAACCACTTGGGTTTCTCCTTTTCCAACAATGAAAAATTTGCAGAGGCACTAATTGGGTTACAGGCAGGCTTCAGTTCTACTGTAGCCTCAGTGGGAAAAATGAGAGGGAGGTACAGAAAAGTTGAACCAATGATAGATAATATGCTTAACATGATATTAAATTTTTTTAGTTAATCATTTACTAGCATTTTTAGTTTCAGGCCAGCTATAATTTGTGAAAAGAAAAAGTGATTGTATTTATATATTATATTTTCCATGTTTTTAATCACTCACCACCAGCACCACCACCTACCCCCATACTCTTACATACAGAGACCAAGCACGGGGCTTACAAAAAGCTGCTTTTAATAATGACTCTCAACTCATTCATTTAGTAAACATCAGCTGTGCACATGCTATGTACCAGGTTCCATTCTAGACCTTGAGAGTGCTGTAGAGAACAAGATAGATAAGGTCTCTGCTCACGTGCAGTTTATATTCTAGTGAGGAGATATAACAGTAAACACACACACACACACACACACACACACTCACCACATACACAAGAAAATGTCAAGTCATGATAAGCGCTAAACAAAGACTCAAAATAGGATGATGAAGAAGGAATGATTGTATGGCTTTTTTAGAAGTGATCAGGGAAGGCCTCTGAAGATGAGCCCTGGCAGGAATGGGGGTGCCTTCCAGGAAAGCAAAGGATGGCACAGAAGACAAGATAAGGGAAGGTGGGGGCAAGCTAAAGGTTGAACCAACTGGAAACCACCAGAAATTTCCCCATCAAGGTCATTATTAATAAAATTTTCATTATTAATAAAGGGTGTATGTTATTGTCATGAAACACATTCTTGAATTGGATGGAATAAATATTATAAATGTAATTTGGAAATAAAACATTCAGGAAATACGTAGAAACCTAGAGACCTTGTTCATTAGTTTCTCCCACCAGAAACGTGCTAAAGAGAGAAGAAAGCTATGGATTGGCTAAATAGAATGACAGGCTTGGTATTTCAGGAACTGAAATAGCCAGAAAAACAAATGGGAAGTGAAAAGGGGGAAACCTACAAGTGTTGGGCGCTATGTTACAATCTTTACACACTTTTTGTCTTTAATCTTTAATTTCTCAAAACAAAGTAGGTGGTATTAAACACATTTTACAGAGGTGGGAGTTGAATCTTCCTATAGTCAAACATCTAGAAGATACAGATTCAACCCTAAACTGCTGCACCATCCAAATAGGCCTTTTGTTTCTGAAATTGCCTTTCACACTACATTTTTCCAAGACCTTCATCCTCCCCTCTGCTATGGTGAGAAATTTTGAGTCAAAGCCAAATGTAATTTCAACCCCATTATCATTCTTCTGACTCTCAGTTAAGCAACTCTTTCCTATACAGTTAACTTTACAGAACAGCTTTCTATGATGGGTCTTAGTGAACAAGAGGGCTATTAATGATGCATATGCTTCCCATGGAGACTAGTTGCAGAAGAAAAGGGGCATTTGGTTGTTTCAGTGCCAAACAATAAGTTGCTAGAGAGGACAAAGTGCCTGTTGGGCTTTAAAAAATCTGTCCAGAATTGTCTAAATCATGGATGATAAACACCAAGAGCTAGGAAGATATGAAAATTCATGACTTCTGCTCATTCTTTTATTTCAGGAGAGTTTCATTGTTTGAATCTCACACAATAGCTTGAGCTGCAAATAGAGAAAACTAAAAATAATACATAGTCCTCATCACTATTCGTTCTGTTTTTGATCAAATGGCCCATGATCCTTATGATTCCACACTTTTCAGTCTACCCTGAAATAACATTTATCCTTTTCAAAGCCCCCAACAATAAATCAGCCATAATGAAAGCTCTTCTTCTTGCTTTTACTGCAAGGATATATGCTCCAACCTTCATGTCTAAAGTGTTTACCTGGCTTTTTCATAGCTGACTCAGTAGATTGGAACCTTTTAATGCAACCTTCATGGCATGTGGTCACCAAATCTATGTGAAGTCTTTATAATTTTTGTATGATTGATAGCATATTGCTCTTCACTGGTGAGGGGAACCATATCTATTTCCTGCTTGCTTCCTTTGTACACGTTAAGTTACTTAATCCATTTACTTTCATTATTGGGACTTCAAACGTAGAAATGTGAAGGAAAAGAGAAAAGCAAACAGGTTCAACAAGTCTGTGCCTGATTCTTAGGCCTAAATGTTTTCTACTGCATTATATACTACCTCCCAGGGTTATAAAACCAAAGCTTCCTTTTCTGCAAAGCAACCCAGTTAGTGGGGAGACATAATCAATCAATCAGTCAATCAGTCAACTGCCATAGCTTTAGAAGGAAATAAAAGCTCCTTTCTCAAAAGCCTATATAGCTCCACAGTTTCCCAAAATTATTGTCCATGCCCATCTTTTAGACCTTCATTCAACCCCTCATGATCCTGTGTCAGCTACCATTATCATCTATTTTAAATGCATACTTCTGTATTTCAAAACCTGTCCCCAAACCTACCTCTATTTACTATGTCATTCCTCTCTAAAACAATGTATGTGAGAGTTTTTAAATTGTAGTGTTATATCAATTCTAGTATTATTACTAAACAAAACTCAAGACTTTTTTAAAAAAACTTTCTCCGATTAGCTTTGCCTACCCATTCTTTAATTAAATCAACTAATATTTCACCTCTAATCTATGACAAGCACACATATGTCTCAGAACCTTAGAGATGAGTAAAATGAATAAGAAAGTAACTATTCCCCTAGGAAGTTTATAATCTGTTTCCCAGCCCTACTCTCCCAATCTACTTCTTTTCTGAATCTACCAAATTTGCCAGTTTTTGAGTGCCCATCGCGTTTTTGTCTTGTTGTTTCTGTTATTAATCATAAACTCCCCAGAATTGTGTCCATGTGTTACCATTCGCCAAAAAATCTGGGCACTGTCATGCTCTGAATCAAAACCATGAACTTTGGATAAGCTAATTATCTCTGAGCTTCATTTTTCTCATTTGAAAAATGCAAACAACAGTACCTACTGTATACAGAAGTGGTTATTAGAGGTATATGAAATGATATGTAGTGTACAAAGGACTCATGTCACTTACTTGCTAAAAAAAAAAACCTTCAATAACACCTCTGTTGCCTTTCAAATTACATGTAAATGTCTCGACCTACTACTGGATGCTCTCAAGATCCCAAACTATTTTGTCAGCCTTCTCTCTTATGATTCCTCTACACATTCTTTTACTCACACCAAAAGGTCCTGCTCCCCTTTTTTCACTATGAGGGAAAATTAGTAGTAACTACCATACTTTTTTTCCTTCCAGTTTTATTGAGACACAATCGACACTATACAAATTTAAGGTGTACAACATAATGATTTGACTTACGTACATCCCGAAATGATTACCGTAGTAAAGTTTAGTGAACATCCATCACCGCATATAGGTACAAAATAAAAGAAAAAGATAAAAAATATTTTCCTTGTGATGAGTATTCTTAGAATTTACTCTCTTAACTTTCATACATAATGTACAGCAGTGTTAGTATATTAATCATGTTGTACATTACACTCCTAGTACTTATTTATCTTATAATGAGAGCTTTATACCTTTTGACCACCTTCATCCAGTTCCCCCTCCTGCTAGCCCCTGCCTCTGATAACCACAAATATGATCTCTTCTTCTGTGAGTTTGTTCGTTTGTTTGTTTGTTTGTTTGTTTTTAAAGTATAATTGACCTACAACACTATGTTAGTCCCTGGTGCCCAACATAGTCATTCAATATTTCTATACATTAGATAATGATAAAATACTGTGGTAAGTCTAGTTACCATCTGTCACCATACTAAGATATTATTATTGGCTATATTCCCCACACTGTACAGTTTGTCCCCATGACTCATCTATTTTGTAACTGGAAGTTTGTACCTCTTCATCTCCCTCACCTATTTCTCTCATCTTCGCCCCCCCCCCAACTCCTCTCCTCTGGCAACCACCTGCTTGTTCCCTGTATCTATGACTGTTTCTCTCTTGTTATGTTTGTTCATTTGTTTTTTGCTTTAGATTTCACGTATAAGTGAAATCATATGGTGTTTGGCTTTCTCTGTCTGACTTATTTCACTTAGCATAATACCCTCTAGGTCAGTTATTTTTACTGTGAGAATTTCTAGTTATTTTTCTCCTCATTCAACTCTGCAGCATATTTTATAAATGATGAGAAAGGTTAATTGGCTCCTTCACAGTAACAACACAGCAAATAACTGGAAAAGATGGAATTTGAAACTAGAGCTGTCTGGCTTCAAAATCCATACCTTTTCACCCTACTGTGTACATTGTGCAAAATGTGAAAAATGTCCTTCCTTATGTTTAACTGGAATTAGTTTTCCAAGCCCATCTCAGGTGGTACCTCCTTCACCAAACTGTCCTTAATCCCCTTCCAAATACAATATCACCCTCAAATTTCTCACAGCAGTGTGTCACTCATTTTTGCGCAGCACTGTGCTAGTGACTTACGTACCAAATCATGAGCTCTTTGACACCAGGGTGAGTGTTTCCCCTGAAGCAAAGTACTTTGCAGCAAGTTTACACCCTGTTTCCCCTGAAGCAGAGCAGTTTGCACCAAGTAGATATTTAATAAAGTCACTTCAGTTGAACAGAGGGTCATTAAGGTCACATATGGAAAATTCTGTCCAGTGCAATCCAGGAATCATTTACTTACTAACATGTCTCTATTCCAGGTCCTGTAGTAGACATTGGGTTTAAAGAGATAAAAGCAAGGCAAAAAACCCTGCCCTCAAGGAGTTTACAGTTTGATTAAAGTGCTTTGAAACCAGAAAGTTGGGTTTTTTTTTAATTTAGGCATTATAGTGAGATGAAACAAACACTTTAGTAATACAAATGAATTCTCATTTGTTGTTCACACAGATACAGTTGTCTCCTCCAGCTGCTGTACCAGTTTAGACTACATCGTCACCTACCTCTTCAAGCACATAGCAAAAGAGGGCAGGAAGCCACTTCGATGCAGAGAGGCTGCCCAGGCTGGTCAGAGACTATTACATTTTATGCAGCAAAATCCAGAGGTCCTGCAGCAGGTAACTGGTGGTTGCTTATCTAGCTTAAGAGAGAAGAGTTTCCCAAAAGCCAATCTGGTCTCTGAATATCCCTTAGAGCAACTGGTCTTGCCAAGACTCTTTACTGGGTCTTCTCTAGGAGTATTTTCCCTGTAGGGAGGATAGTACACTGGCCTCAGGATTACCCACCCTCCAGAAATCTCTAAGTCATTCATCTCACCTCAGTGAAGCTAGAATTCAAAAAGAGGATAGCTCTTCCAGAGACAAGAGAAACAAAAGTCAAAGCTGGAACTAGAAACAGTCAACCTCTGATTTCTTTCCCAGAGCCTCTAATAACGTCATCTTAGGTTTGCCTTGTGAATACTCTGGTATGTTGAGAAACTACCATTTTCTGGGCTCCTAGTCTGTGCCAGGCAGCTTGCTGGGAACTTTCCCTTCATCATATCATTTTCCCCATTTTAAGATGAGAAATCAAGGTTCAGATAGGTCATATTCCCACGAACATTTAAATAATAAGTAATAAAGCTACGATTTGTTTATTTTCAAATGTTTTCTGACTAGCTAATATGAATTAGGTCCAAGTTTAATATGTTTTAAAAACTTCTGCAAATCACAGTAACAGCATGCATAAAATTAAATCATATATGCCAGAAATGTTTCAAAGAGAATAATACCATTTTACTGTGGAGATAGCATCACTATGATATATTCCAGTTCTACTACATTTGGAAAGTGATATCTTTATACTGCTTCCAGTTGTCTTCTTTTGCCAAATTATCTATCTCCATAATAGTCTGTGGTTTGCAAATATAAACACTTTAACCTGGTCATTAGCCAGCAAATAAGTCACCTGCAATCAGCAAAAAAGTGTCAGTCTGAGTAAATAAATGATGAAAATGAATAAGACAGCCATGGAAGAGGTTTTCTTCCTAGCTGTCATTTTTTTTGCTAATATTTAAATGACATTATGTAAACTTTATTTGTGGTGATGTTTCAGTTAACCAGTTATTTTCCTGGCAGGGAGGTGTGTGATTAAGATTTTGTGTAAATAAGCAAAGGGTTCTGGGCCTGTAACTATTTGGTATGACCCTGGAATTGTTACAACATGTTGGTGATTAAACAGGAGGAAGGTAACTCACATTTATTGAGGACTTCCTATGTACAAGGTGCGAGAGCCACTAAGACCCATGAGACATATTTCTCTCCTTAAATAAGTGTGTCCTGCCAGGTGGGAAGGAGAGACAAGTAACTAACTAATTATGTGATAATTGGATTAACATAGTGATGACAGGAGGAGAGGACCTGCAGAGACATCTCCTCATTTAGACCCCACAACAACCCTGCAATGTGGATATAACCATCCCCATTTTTCAAATGAATAAATTGAAGCACAGAGAGATAAACTGGAAAGTGGAATGTGAACCAAGGTCTGTTTGGCTCAAAAGCCCAAGTCCTTACCACTTACTTACACCATTGATTCTCAGGAGACTAGTTGCTGGATAAGATCTCAGATTCACCTGGAATGCCTTTTCAGAATAACACATTCTATCAAGATTTGGATGCACTGTTCCTCACCCATCCTTCTGCAGTAGCCACTGGTACTGCTGGGAGTGTGGCGTAGCCCTCAGGTGTTTTGCAACAAGAAGGCTGAGAACCACAGAATTAGAGCGTGTAGGCAGTGGAGAAAATAAATAACCGTGGGTTGGCCAGCAATCAGACCCAGCGCTCACCCCACCGTGGCAAGTGACAGGTCTGCCACCTGCCAGTGCTCAACCATGATCACAATATTGTCCCATAAACTTCGGCAGGAACTTTTAAGTGGGTAGAAAATTTTAGCAAAAACCAATAGGCTATGGTCCTAGACAAATACCATCCGACTGTGCAGAACAAGTAATGTGGTTGTGCAGAAGACATTCAAGTTTGTCTTTACTCAGAATTACCATGTGTTTGTTGGTTTAAGTAATTTCTATGTGTTAATAGTACTTAGTAATCCTTTACTTTATAGCATATGACTAAGTAGTGATATATCTTTATTAACAGTGGAATACATTCTATTTATTTGGAATGTAGGCTTTCAGATAGCATTTTAAATATTAATGACCGGTCTCTGGTAGTCAGCATAAATATGATTTGCATTAGCACTAGGTTATATCATCTTGAGTGCCTCTGATGTCAATGATTGGGTATAGTAGTATCTGACATCATCTCCTTAGGTCACTGACAACTTTGACCTCTATTCTTATGCACAGTTTCTGTCGTCTCAAAAGCTCTTTTGAATTGATTTGAAATTTTGACTCTTCCCTTTATGAGGCAGTAAAATTGATAATTATTCAGATGGGAACTGAGCACTGAGTGAAAAATCAATTCCACCCGCTCTCTGCCGCGTATAAAATTACTTCTGAGTCGGCTGGACTGAACGGATGGCCAGAGTAAAAGCAGCAGGCAGGAGTAGTGGGAAGAATTAGCTGGACACAGCTAATAGCCTGAAGGGATAGACTTGGAAAACAGGGAGTGGGCCAGTTGGGGGTTATTATGAGCAAGGATGGGTCCCATTGATCATCTGTTTGCATCAGCTTTCCAAGACCTTATAAATCAACCCTGAAGAGCAGCAGAATCCAAGATTTCAGCCTCTTTCCAGAGGGAATTTATATTAGATTATTCTCATTTTCACACTCAGATGAAAAGTGAGCCATTGATTATTCATTGGTTGCCCATCAAATGCTGTTTTTATAGACGATTTGCCTATCAGAGAAGGTAATGAACAAGGTTGCTGCTTCATAACTCAAGGTTTCAGTTTTCAAGGCATCTGTGTCAGTTAAGTAATGCCTAACCCTATTAAAAGGAATGGGTTACAAATTGCTTAACAGTGCTGAAAAACTAGACCCTAATGACTAATTGTGCTTGGAGTTTAGAGAGGGTTTGTCAGCTCTTTAAACTAAACTGATGCAATGATACTGCAATTATTTACTAGTTTGAACTGTTCTCCCCCTGCACCACCAACCTGGACCTATATCGCTGGAAGCATAGTTGCATGAAGAGTGTCAATTCTAAATTGCAAAAGTTATCTCCTCAAGCTTCCACAGCAAATGAAGCATGAACCCACATAAAGGGTCTTCTGACATTCTTATAGGCCTTTCCTATGAGACATTTTAAGTGCCTCTCACCTGAAAATGTGTTTATTATGACCTGCTATGTGGCTTTAGATCTTCAGTGTTTTTAAAAACATTCTCCAAATAAGCCATCTTCCATATTTTGCAAACAAACCTAAATTTGCAAAGCATTACCTTTAATCCATTTGAAGATCTGTTATAATTAAGTGAATCTATTTTAAGTAAGAATTATTGTCTAACCAGCATTGCTTTAACTTAACTGAGAAAAACCCAGTTTACGTATATTAAGAAAAAAAAAAAAAGTTTCCATGTTTTTATGTCATTAGAGAGAGAAACTAAAGTTTTAAGAACAGGCCAGTAGTAACAGTGGTTAGGCATGGATCTGCTACGGTAATTTGGAAGATAAAATTTCTACGTGAAACGTTTTCAGTTTTATCCCTGGTCATGTTAAGTGTTTGTATCTATAACTCAAAGGTCAGCATACATTTAGTTATATCACAGAATGAAAGAAGGATCTTCCCAAATTAGGTACATGAAAGAGCGTGTTTTATAAGAGTAGAAGGGCATTTCAAAGATGAGACTCATTCTCTTTCAGATTATAAGAATAGGACACTGAGGCTGAATGCTTCTCTAAATCATAACTTCTATTAAAACTACCTGCTCTCAAAAGAGTAGCAACTTCCATAGAAGTAGAACAAGAATTATGTGATGGTCAGTATTACTGATTAGATTATGCAGTTAACTTATTAACAAGGTATTTTTAGCAATTATGTTCTCTAAAATTTAAATACACTGAATGGAGGAATTAGAACATTTAGGTTTTAGTTTATCTTAACCTCTTCTATTTAACTATTTAGCTCAAGTGAGCTGTACTAAAAACCAGAAAAAGTTCTAATTATAATTCTTTCTCCCTCGCTGTCTCTCCCCCTCCCTCCCACTTTGTGCTAACCTGACATTTAACTACAAATTGTAAAGAGCTGTCAGGAGTTATAAGAATCATACTTCAGTAGGGACGTAAGCTGGAAAGAACATTCACCCTTTTCCTCAATCAGTCAGTCAGTCAATGAAAATTGCTTTTGTACAGTGCTCTTCGTGACATGCATCCCAAAGTGAATTACAGCAAAAGGGAAATCATCTGCTCTTTTTTCATTTCTGTGTTTAGATTGAAAGGATATTGCTCAACATTTTGACATACTATACAAGACATCTTTCTTACTTAAGATACCATCCCATAGTACTAAGCAGGAGAAGGTGCAGTCACATATTTAACTGATGTTGAGATTTTGGCCTATAGAACCTCAGCAAGACTCTCACAGTGGGAAACACTTTAGCAGATGAAATATATTCATGTCTCTTATGCTCTTAAAAAAATTAACCAGACTTTCTAATGTTATTATAGACATTTCTAGTGAACCCTAAATAGAAAGTATGCTCATGACCCACTAGCTCAGTGTGGTTAATTTGCAGCTATTATCAAAAGTATGGCAGTAGATTGATGTAAAAAACACATGCTGAAGGAACATTCACAACTGGATCAGAGGATAACATGGATTTAAAGGGAAGCCAGGGATAGGTCATTAGACATGGCAAGTAAAAAATAAGAATAATAGAATTGTTTTTTGCACATGCTGCTGCAGTCTTGGTCTTCTTCACAGCAACATATGTATGTATTTTGTATTTATTTCTAGGAAAAAAATAATACTGGCAAAATATTGCAGACAGTAGCTTAAGCTTTTTCATATGCATTTAATCTGATTTAATCACCACAGTATCTCTGTGAAGCTGTAGTATTATGAGCACCATTTTACAGATATAGAAACCCAGGCATAAAAAGATTAAGTAGGGGCTTCCCTGGTGGTGCAGTGGTTGAGAGTCCACCTGCCGATGCAGGGGACACAGGTTCGTGCCCGG